TTGATATGGTAGTGTGGTATTTCTACTTCCCTTCTCTTAAAATGTGTCACATGTGTGCTACAAAGGAAAGCCATAATCTCTCTTCAACTATTTTGAGAGCATTGTGGTGTAATTAAGCCTGGATTAAAACTGATGGACACTTTTAGAGTTGGTTAGAGTAAGGGTAAGAAGCAATCATTGCTATACATTCCAAGTGATACAGGAAGAGGAGGGAGAGATGATGGACAGCATGGTTGGGGATCTATACATTAAAATTCTAACATTCAATTACATACCTGTTAGACGTGGTTGGTTTTGTGCAGACTTGCTTACAAAATCCGGTAAAATGCTAGTGCTGGCATTTGGCTGTTTCGCTTTCACGTGACAGAGAAGATGCCTTGTGAAAGGCACGAGTCTTTCTCCAATTATCTTGTATCCTGTGGCAATGAAAGAAACACGAGGTTTCACTGAATTTTTTTTTTTATCTGAAAGATTCTTTTGTGAAAATCTTAAACAAGTCAGCTTGTCAAGAACAAAAATTTTGGTAAATAACAGAATTAAGTTTTTGACTAGTATTGAAGCAAGGGTAGGGTTTGCTTTTATGTCAAATTGTATTTTTCAATTATACAGTGCTTTAGATAGTGCTTGTCTTGAAATACTTGTAATTTCAAATGAAAAGTCAACATTTCTCAAAAAGGAAGATGTGGATTGAGCAGGGGAAATGAGAGCTGATTCTTAAACTGGAATCTGGAAGTAGAGAAAAGGGGTGGTATAGAAACATGCTGGTATTACCTCAGTAGAGGATAGTAAAGTTCTACAGCCCCATCTTTTTTCTTCATTAGAATGTATCACTTACCAAGTTTGTATAGATTTTTGTGCCTCTTCCTTTAATTATCACTGTATATACACTAGGAAAACAGTTTAAAAAAGGTATTAAGAAAAATAGAAAGCAACTGCTTTCCATGGGGAAAAGAACCTGTCAACTTTCAAGTGCTTTATTCTATAGAATGAGATTCAAGCCAGTGAAAGTGAACTCAAGAATTACAAATCTGAGCAGAAGGAGAATATGCCACCAAGTCTTGAGGACTCCATTTTCTATCAGGATGGGGAGAAGGTAAGATGCTCATGCTGGTGAAGCTCAAGGACTCCACTTCAAGTGGAACTAGTTGTAGAAGCACAGCTGATACACTTGTTCCATGTGCCATCTAGAAATTGAATGTGAGCAGCTGATACGGATCATTTACATGCTGCAGAATTCCTGATTTATTTTTTAACTATTTTTTTAGACTGTGTCTGAATTACAAGATAGCAAGTCTCTGTGAAAGACTTTTAAGCAGTTTAGAGAACATCTAAAGACAAATTTTAAGTTTTCTTGGAGAGTTCCTCTGTCTTCTCAGTAATGACATGCCTTGTAGTGTGGCAGAATCCTTCAGTATCATACTTAGGTATTTTTTGATGACTTCAGTAGCTGACTAGGACTGAAACCTGTGATGGTTTGCGGGGGGGGGTGTTCTGGTTTTTTGGGTTTTTTTTGTTTTGTTTTTTACTCTGCCATTGTTTTTTCATGACTATGATGAAGCCAGCTAAACTTTTTTGTGTCATGTTCCCTGACTGTAAAAAGGTGATTCACAGCTAGGTATTTGTTTTGTTTGTGGGTTTTGGTGTTTTGTTTTTTGGGTGGGTTTTTTTTAAGAAAACAAAAAAGACACCACACCAGGGGGAAAAAAAAAAAAAAACCAAAACAACATGAGAAGCTTTGTGACGCAAGTAAAAGGAGTTTGTCACTGTTTCTTCTGCATTTAGTGGCTAGATTTTGATTAAGGTAACTGAGAATGCCAGTTTGGGTTTGTTCCTGGTTTTGAGCTTCAGCTGTAAATTGAGACTAAATTACTCTGTGAATTAGAGATAATAAAGCATGCTCAAGCATCTGTATACTAAACTGGGGACAGCAGACGGGATAAAAGTAGCTGAATAATAACTGGGGTACTGTGTATTCCAGCCATTCTGAACACGTGGCAGCCTAATGCCAGGAGGGCTTTTAGAGCTTTCCAGCCTTCCTTGGGCAAGGGGCCAAATTGTCGCTCTCAGCTGTTCCTTGCTGACAGCTGAGCAGCTTCATGTTCAACTGGTTGGGGCTGCTTTTTACTGAAAGGTGAGTTAATTAAAAGAACACCTGTTAAATCAGAATACATCCCTGTTGTTGAATGGAAGATTTGAATAAAATTTCTTGTATTCAGCTGTAATTGTGAAGTTACTTGTTGAGATGTCCAGGTGCAATAAAGAACCTGAATAGAACATTGTTTGAGAGCCAGGATTGTCCTTTTGAAATGACATGATGGACTTTGGAAATAAGCCTAATTAAAACTACTAGTTGTAAATGTCAAAAATGGGAATCCTCTGGCAAAAAGGAAACGAAAGAAACTTGCTAACCTTCTCTGCCATTTTTCACACTGAATCTGTGAAAGATTTAGTAGCCAGACATATGTAACTCTCTAACAGCCATAGAACATGCTGATGCACTTCCCATTATAATAGTAGGGTTTTTTTTGGTAGAGTATGTTAATATATGTAACTTCCTCATTACCTCATTAATTTGCAAACTTCAGTAGCTTGCAATGGACCTTTCAGTCATTAAAGTGAATTAGTGATGATTTGCAGTTAGTCTTGTTACCGTACTTTAGTTTCTCAGTGTAGCTACTTACAACTATTGGATTTAATACCAATAGTGCCATGTTTAATACAGAAATGCACCTCAAGAGCTTTATCTGTAACATTTTTAGTAACTGAAACTGGTTTATAGCCAACTCTTAATTTTTTTTTTTTTTTTTTTAATATGAATCTGTTTCTGAAGGTGGATGAGCAGGATAGGTCCAGGCATGTTTGTCCAACCTGGGAACAGCAGACTTCTAGTTCTAAAAAAGCTTTTTAAAAAACTCAGCTGTTCTGTATTTCTTTTTTCTTTTCCAAAAGCACTATCTTTGCTGAATGTTTAAATGTCATAGATTTGTCAAATGTTGAAGGGAGCCATGAGATTTCCAGTAAATGTGTACTGCTTGGTGCCAAGTGATTTCCAAGTAAGAAAACCTGGGAGGTATATCAATGAAATCCACAAGGATTTCTGAAGACTAATAGATAAAGGTGTACAAGCTGCAGGCGTTTGGGAAAACAAAAGTATGTTTGTGTGCGTGAACACTATAGCAGATGATATGAATATTGCAGGATCTGTAAAATTGTGAGGATGTCTAGCTTGTAGCAAGGACTAACATTCCTGGCAGTCAGCTGGACTCTGCCTTGTGCCTTACAAAACGAAAGGTAGCTTGGTGTGCACCTCAGTGTGGCCAGTCTCTTCCTGTTTAAGTGCTTACAGTGGTCAGCTGCCTGTTGTGTTACTCGGGCCATGATTATTCAGACTTCAGAAGGTCAAAGGTGCTCATTGTCTAATATTCTCTTGCAGGTTTCTGTAGGTGAGAACAGCTTGTCTTTCCACTCTGGCCTTCTAGAGGATGGCAATGGTAAGCCCTCATTCTCCTGCCTCAACAAGAGTAAAGCACATGGCTGAGGAGAAGCACTAACTGCCCAGTTGTGTATAGGATGCTTAAGAAAGTCCTGTCAAATGGTGAATTTGACCCAATAAAAACCTGTCTTGTACTAAAAATCTGTCCTGTGCCTAACTTTAACTTAGTAAGAATGATTTTCAGGTTTAGAAGTTCATTTGCAATTGTGATTCTGAGACATCTGTAACTCTTGTTTGCTCTGATTGAACACATTTAAGTGTAGCTTCCTCACCATTTGGACTTAAGCTAACAGCTCTGGCAACTACTACATCAGTCAATAGACTGCAGTACTTAGTAATGCACGACAATTACCCAGTGTCTTTGGTGTTGTCCAGAGATAGACAGGTTCCTATTCAGTAAAGTACGTAAGCACATTCTCACGTTGCCTTAGCTTTACACCTAAATTCAAGCCCACACATGAGCAACGTTGCAGAAATGAAGAACAGTTCCTGGAAGTTAGATGTTGGATCCCTGTATATCAGTTTCCTTTACATATCAACTTAACTTTCCTGGTAGATCAGAAAAGTAGAATGATCATGTTTAAATATCTAGATCTAAAGGTTTAATAGCAGATGTTCAAGAAAAAAATGCATCAGCCCGTAGCTGGTAGCGGCTTTCCGTGGTTTTACAGTCATTGTAATTGCCTTTTTCTCCTCCTCTGCTCCCTTAGTTGGACAAAACTTGGAGACTGAGACAGAAGTTCAGAAACCTGTCAGCACAAAGCAGCAAAACTTTGGTTCTAAACCAGTTGGCCAGACAGATGCATCTCTGCCGAAAGCAGTGAAGGTAAAGCAGCTATTTATTCTCAAACATTGGTGATGGTTAAAACTGTCTTGCAGTTCTCTATTTAATATTGGCTGCATTAAGGCTTTTCAGTGTGGTCACAAAGGGTCTGGCAGTAACTGTATCAGTAACTGATCTGTCTTCATCAGACTCTGTTCATGAGGGAACTTTAATTCAGAATGGAAAAGCATCTCAAAACTGTCAGTTTTTCTTCAAAGACTGAGTTTGAGTTGTTTGCTAGGAGTTGCCCCACTGCTGTTGCAGGAGCATGCCCCTGTGACAGAGGCAGTTTCGCTTCAGTGTGGGAAAAGGGGTTTGAGCAGGGGATCATATCAGGGCTTGTCTATGCCTCTTGTAAAGTCCGTGCTCCTAGAGAGTGGCACTGAGGTCGTGATAATGATCTTCAGAGCCCTTACTAGGCTGGGACTTGGCTTTCCACCCTCCTTTTCCAGCTGTTCCGAAGGTAACTGCAGTTGATAATAACTTTATAGTAAGGGAACTGTGGTGACTGGCTCCACAAAAACTGAGTTTGGCATTCTTGAGTAACAAGTCTTTAATTTTACATTTTCTTTAGCGGGAGCTATAAAGCAGATGGAGAACTTCTTGGATAGGAATGTATTTGCTAATCTTATTAGACATACAAACAGCAGTGCTGAACATTTTGATCACACTGTACTTTCTTGTCACGTGTGCTGTCTGGAGTTAGGATGCCTATTCCCTGGGCTGCCACAGACTTCCTGGCTCACTCCTGAGGAAACAACTGTGCTTTTGTTGTTTTCCCCATCTTTGAGAGGAATGGCACTGACCTCACGAAGACCAGTGAGATGTGGCTTCCTAGAGTTCTGGAGTATAAATGCCAATATGCAAAATTAGAGCTGCCTATAACATTTTAGTAATCGCAGTCTGTTACAGCATACAAGATACACATAACCTGTGTGTCCTGGTCGTCTGTGCTATCTCTATATTATTAGAACCATTTTAGTCCTGTACCTTGTTACTGCTTTAGATGCTGCACTGCTGTGATAGAAACCCAGATGCTGTTTATTCATGTAAGGTTCCTATTTCTCTCTTCCAGCTTCTGTTTCCTGTTCTTGGTTCCTAATCTCTACTCCTGCCTTCTGCTTCCCTCCTAATGTGAGCTCAACTCTCAGCTTTCTCTCAAGTTTTTTTATATTTATTGGGCCTCACCTTCCTCCTGTAGCTCCTATTTGTAGTATGCCTGGAAAGGAATTTCTGTCTCTTCACATCCCAAAATGCCTCTCCATCAGACATAGGGCTCATTGTTACACAAGTAAGTTCCTCTTCTTAGATGGGGATGTGCATTGCAGAAGCACATGCCAGCACTGTAATGTCATCTTGCAAAACTAAGCTTTCAGGGAGATTTACTTTTTGATGGGCAAATTGTTGCTGCCCTGGTCCCTGTGGCAAGCATGGATGATTAGATTTTTGTTTGCATGGGTAAATTATCATTTTTTGAGATTTCATTTAGTGACTCAAAATTCAGAATTCATATGCAGTTTTGGCAGCACCTAGAAATTATGGAATTTTTTTTTTCAAAAGGAACTCTGAACTTTTGTTGGTCAAGCTTGCATTGTAATTAGAACTTTAATCTACTATAATTTCAAGCAATGCCTTAAAAAATTGAAATGCCTATTAAACAGGAATTAAATCGGCAGCAAACTTTGATTGTGACAAACTGACTTCAGCTGGCGCTGTCTTCAGCAATCTGTCCCTCACGTATTGTAACTTTCATTGCCTAACCATTGTTTCTAGTCTGTTATAAATAAATTGCTGTAATTATGTCTTCCTGTGACCTTCCTGTTTTTTCTTTAGCCATCATATTTTTCCTTAAAGCTTTTTAAGTATGTAGCAGGTAATTCTTTGTCAAAGAAAAGCTACAATACCAATGTGCAAACCCATGGTACGGAGCCTAGGCACGCTTTTACCCTGCTGCTAAAGCAGTTGTAATCAACATGCAGCCTGAGACTGCCAGTTTTTCAACTGCAAGTTATTTAATTTTTCCTTTCAAGTGTTTTCCCTATTGGCCAACCTTAATGGATTCCAAGAAGTGAATGGCATCAAGTGACCTTTTTTCATGGACAACGTGCTCGCTTCCTTGATGCTGTCAGAAAACAAAATCTGAAATAGTTCCCATACAGTGCAGCAGTGACACTTGACTCCTTAGAATTTAAGTTTACCCTTGCACTAAACTCTCAGGGAATTCTCTTACTGAGCACATAAACAATTTTAGCTGTTTGACCTCAAAGCCCTGCTCACTTTAGGTCTTGAGCAAGTTTGAGAGCTGCACGTCCTGAAATGCGAGTATAGTTTCTCTGTGATAGAACTGGAATTGCTTACAAATGAAGTCAGAAGTGTTTCCTGCTGCCTGCATCTGTGCTGAGACTATTTCCTCCTCTTTAAGAGAGAATTTAGCAAAAGTGGATCACTTGAAACCATTGAGCAGCCTGTTCTACTCCTCTTCCCTCCCACCCTCTACCTTTTATTTTGAGGTTGTTTCAGCTCTTTTTCTGCACTATTTTTTTAATGTTGGTAAGTCTCATACTGACTGCAATCTACCTGGATGTTTCTTCATCATTTTCCTATCAAGAAAAATTGAGGTTGCAGAAATAGATTAGACAGCTTTTTGGGAACTGGCTCAAAGTTATAACTGAGTTCTAGTATTTTCATTGTTCCTTCTCAACCATTGCTCAACTTGTGGTGCTTCAGCTGCGGAATTCACTGCGGCAAAATCTTGGCTCACTGTCAAGCCACAGCAATCCTGTGGGCCTGCCATAGGCTCTTCTTCACTCATTGCCCCCTAGAACCCACTCTACCATAATTAGCATTGACTTGCAGAAAGTGAATCACTGCAATTTTTCTGAGAACTCTGGAAGCCGTGCATGAACCCAAGCCAAGTCCCCTAGCAGTTGATTCATTTTCCAGTTAACAAGCTTTCTCTGCTTCCCATAGAAATTTCAGTTGCCAGTGAAGGAAACCTGTGTTGGGTGTCAGAAGACTGTGTACCCGATGGAAAGGCTCTTTGCCAACCAGCAGGTGTTTCACATCAGCTGCTTCCGCTGTTCCTATTGCAACAGTAAACTCAGGTAAACACACTGCTCCATTTGACCACTGTCTAGGAAGTGTAGCTTTCCTCTTCAGCAGCTGAGTTAGATGCTGTTCAGGCTTAGCTGAGCTGAAGGCAACCATAACCTAGCGAATTGGAGAGGAGCGTAAGAGGGGTAATACAGTCGTAGCTCTGCCAGTGGCTTTTGCACTTGATGCAGTCTATTTTTGAACTCTTTAATGTAATTTTATGTGGGGAAAAATACAATGTCGAACTTTGTAACGAACTCCTGTCATGTGAAAAGAGGGCCATACAAACTCATGAAAGTTGTAAGTTTGTCTATTCTAAATGTGTTGAAAGACTGAAATTGAATCTCTTCAGTAACATAAGTAACATAGCCACCGAGACGGGTGTATGAGACACAGAATGCTAACATTTGACTTCATATTTTCCTGAACAGTCTTGGGACGTATGCATCTCTGCGTGGGAATATTTACTGCAAGCCTCACTTCAATCAGCTCTTCAAATCTAAAGGCAATTATGATGAAGGCTTTGGACACAAACAGCATAAAGAATTGTGGGCAGGCAAAACTGAGTGTGAAGAATCCCTGGAGAAAACTGTCCATGGTGTAAATGCAACAGAAAGTCCGCAAAGCCCAGGAGTAGAGGATGCCCCAATTGCAAAGGTAGGAGTTCTGGCAGCAAGTATGGAAGCAAAAGCATCGGCTTTGCCTGAAAGAGAAGAGAGACCAGCAGAAACAAAAAAGCTCAGGATTGCCTGGCCACCTCCATCTGACCAAAGTATTCAAGGAAGTGCCTTAGATGAGGGCATCAAAGTATTCAAACCCAAATGGCCCCCAGAAGAAGAGATTTCCAAGCCAGATGTGCTGGAGGATGTAGATCTGGATCTCAAAAAGTTAAGAAGATCTTCCTCACTGAAGGAAAGAAGTCGTCCCTTTACAGTAGCAGCCTCATTTAGAACAGTATCTGTTAAAGGCCATAAAACAGAGAATTCATCTTCTCCCTCTAAGGCAGAGAGAGACATGTTGAAAAGAAGTGAGGAACTGGAGAGAGAGGTCGTGGTAGACAAAAAGCAAAAGGAAAAGAAGATTGAGAATAGAAACATCCAGAGTGCTGAAGAGAAAAATGTAGAAGAACAGGAATTGTCTGGTATCAAAACTGTAAAGCATAACTTTATAGAAAATGGCCAGGTGAATGCAGAGACAGATGAGGAAGAACACGCTATGGAAGAGCGGGAACTTCCAAATGAAGAATTCGTTGAACCAAATTCTCCTAAACATTCCAGCTTAGCCAATGTCATGACTGCTAAGGAATCGTCTCCTAACCAGAATCGCAAATCCCAAGATGTTGGTTTCTGGGAGGGTGAAGATATGGAAGATCTATCTGTGGAAGAACAGATCAAAAGGAATCGTTACTACGAAGATGATGATGAAGAATAAATTGGCCTTTTACTAGAAAACTTGGTGCAAGGTGCTGGGCCTTTTTAAATCGGTGTTTTTAGCTTTAACAAACAGCTGTCCTCCATGAAACCGATGCTATACTGCACATCGACACTAAGGGAATTGTACAAATTATCTCAACTAGAAAAATACTCTGGAAGCCTGTGAAGAGTATATTTAGGTGCATGGAAACAAGTATCTGGCTGTGGGATAGCTTCAACAGGTAATCTTTGTCCACAGCATGAGAGCAGAGCTGTTCCGTACTCCTACTGTCTTACCCCTTTTGAGCTTCAATACATATTTTCACTAACAATTTACAGAATTTCACTGTACTCAAAATGGTGGTGTGAAACAGGCTTTCTGTAATACACTACTTTTACCACTACAAATGCTACTGCAGTGCTTAGGGACCAATTTCAAAGGGACTTTCTGGCCTGCTTTAAAAATAGTAACTTGATGCACTTTAATACATGTAAAGGGCACAACTGGGATTTTTTTAAATAATGAAAACATTGATGTTTGTGCTTAGTATCCAACAACTAAAGCATCTTAAACTGAGCGCAATGTGATGTTTCCTTCTCAAAACTGCTTATGAATTACTACTCTCTCTATTTTTCTCTCTGCAACTGGAATGGTGTGCCCATTGCTGGAACATACGTATTTTAGTGCTTATCCAGAAGCTGTGCTGACTGGCAGATCTCTTTGAGGACAAGTCAACACTTCTGCAGTAACCTGCAGGGCATTACTTTTGCATTTCATATGCGTTTGAAGTGGGGTTTTTGTTTGTTTGTTGGGGTTTTGTTTTGGGTTTGTTTTTTTTTTTTTACTTGGAGTTCATGATCATTCATTTAACACTGAAGATAGTATTTTTAAGGTCTTTTGACAACTTTGAAATTCTACCTGTATCAAGCTGCCATAAATCTTTTCATTATAGCTGTGAAATTATGCTGCATTGCAAAATCTCTGGAATAAAACCACCTGAACAGTGAAACTTCCTGATTGCTAGCATTGAAGCTTAGTACATTTTTAAACTTGACTTCATTTATTTTACAAATAACGATATCTTGAACGGTGGAAGGAGGATGCCCTTTTATATTAGCTTTTATTTGTACTGTATTCTCATGAGAATTAGCTCTTAACTATACCTGAGGTGTAAAATATTCTGCTTTCTTAACAGTCCTGCTAACTACGAAACCTTCAATAAAGTTCGGTCATTTACATTAAAATTTTAGTCTGAAGACTGGATTCATACTCGTTCCACAAAAAGGTGGCATTTTAAAAGGACCATGGGAAAAGATGGGTGAAAATATTGGTGTGCTTACTGGAAGCTGGAGACCAGACAGTGATTTTTCTGGTGCCACTAGGTGACACTGTGTGTCCACTTTTTTCTGGTTGACGGATGGGCAGACTGTGCACTCATATGCAAGAGCGTGTGGAAGAGGGATTAGAACAGGATGGACAGAAGAAATAGGGACATGCAGGTATTTTACACTTCCATTTCTGGCTTCAGGTGGTTCTCAGGCATGGTAGCTGAGGACAGCTGAGGATTTTTCCCCCCCTTCCTGTAAGATTCTTTGTATACTGCAATTATCTTCACTTAAGCCTGAGGTGAGTTTCGTTGGGACAGACAGGAGCTAAGACCTAGGAGAAATGCGGTAAGTGTCCTGCAGCAGCCTAAGATGCATGTGTGTATGATGTATATAGGAGAAGGAGGGAGAGACAAGGGAAAAGAAGCCTGCTATCTAGCTGTAAGGTACTAGCAGTTGCACATCATGAGTTGTACAACCTACTGCTAATTTTTTGTTCTTAATAAGGGAGAATTAAGACTTGATTTGTACAGGTAGAGGTATTGCAAAACTAAGAAAGCTGATGTACAAGCATATGCTGCTTTCAGTAACCCTTCTCTCTCCTCCATTTGATACCAGATTTCCTCAAATTGCTAAGCAACTGGAGATCTTTCTGACTGGAAACTGTGCTAAGTGTATTTGAAAAGGAAGTGAAGAATATTTGTTGTGGACTTGGATTTATTGAATATGCCTACTACTTGTTTCTTAGGAAACACAATTCAATTTTACAATGCATACTCAATTACATAGTACTGAAGCAATATGGGCTGCAGTTACCAGAGACTATAATCATTAGTTCTCGTTAAATCTGAGGCATCTGTGAATCTCTGAGTGACAAGGACCCTTACTGTTCACTCAGACAGGCTCAACATCTTCAAGGAGAAATTAGCACAAGTGGTACTTTTAAATGAAGTCGTTGATTAAAGAAAAGTGAACAGATCATGAACTAGCCTGTCCTTGAATCTATTACTTATCGTAGTATTTGAATGCTTAATGGGCCATTTAATTTGCTTGCAACTGGACAGATGCCAAAAGAGCTGTTATATGATGGATCATTTGCTACACTGTACAAGGAAGTTCATGCTGGCCATCTTTATGGAGTTTGGGAACCTAACTGAAAAGCTTACACGAAGGCTGGGCTTTGTTACTTGGTAACCCTCATCCCAAGACTGTCAACCTAAACAACACACATTTCTGAATGTTTTAAAAGCTATAAGGAAATCTTAAACTTTGCCAACCCGTGTACCTCTTACTCTTCGTTTTGTGCTTAAATGTTAAACCACGTTGTTAATATTGGTGAAACTAAGCCTTGGTATCTTACCATGAACTCTTCACATGAGCTGTGTCCTGCTTGCTGCTCTGGGGCCCTTCCCGTCAGAGGTGAGTGAAACCGGCTATGAGCCCGTCTGAGGAATTCAGCCCCTCGGGGGTGAGGGGGAGGTGGTTTATCCACCGGGGTGATTAGCAACCACCCCCACAGTGTTCAGGCCGGGCTCGGCGCCTGTCTCAGCCGGGGCCTTCCCGGGGAAGAGACCGGACTCCCCTCAGGAGCGCGTGCTTTAGGCCCCATTAAAGACTGTCTTGAGGACTTTTCAGTCAAAACAACTCGTCTCCGTGGAAACCGCCGCCCCCCC